AAAATGATGTTTAGGGACTAAATTTTTTAGAAAATAAGTATAGCATATCTTCTTGGAGGAGATATTTCATATGTAGTTTTTATCAGCTTGTGGATACCCATGAGTTTATAGCCATTTTAATTATAGAGCTGTAAGGATCTTTGCCTCTCTTGCTCAAATGGGAGTTCAGCCTCCTCTTCTCAGTCTCCGTAGGCCGTTTCTGGTTAGGGGGCTGGTGGGAGGAAACATTCTCACGTGCTCAAGGACAGGTTTTCTCATGGTGACCTCTTTGGCCTCCTTGTCATGGTGCCTCACCAACCACAGCCACTGCTGCTGGAGATACCTGAGAGAACCCTGCTTTGCTATTGTCCCCCCACTCCTCTGCACCCCCTTCTCCAGGAGTCAGAGCAGTTCTTCGGTGTGTTGGCAGGTGGGATGTGGGGTGAGAGGGGGAAACAACCCTATTTCCAAATCTGTGTCTAGATTTTCTTGTGAACATAACTGCTCTTATTTTTCTTCCTAACCCTAATCTCTACTGAAGTTCAAAACGTGTCCTCCAGACTGAAATGGGGAAAGGAACATTTCCAACTTCTCTCTCCAGTGTCCTTTCTGCCTTATCTCTCTAGTCATTGAAGAACAAATACTGACTGACCATTGCAATAAATTGAATGCAAAACTAGTCCTAATTCTCTGACTAGCCCTTCCCTGTATCTATGCCCTTTGCAAAAGGACATTCAACTCCTCTCATGGAGAGGTGAAAACTCCCCTTGAATCTGGACAGGCCTCATAACTGGCTTTAACCAAATGATGTGGCTTAAGTGATGGTGTGCCACCTCCAAGCCTGCATCTTGAAATCTTGAGCACTTCCACTCATTTTCTTGGCACTTCTGCCATGTTCTGAGAGCAAGCCTGGGTTAAAATGCCAGCTGATGACAGTTCTCTTCAACCAACAGCCAGCCAATCACTAAGCACGTGAGTGAGTCTCAGAAGAGTCCAGAAGAGCCAGCCAAGCCCAGCCAAAATCAGCAGAGCTGTGTAGATGGCCTGCTTTTGCATGAGTGAGCCCAAGGGAAACCAGAAAAACCACCTAGCTAAACTAAGACTTGTGAGCAAAATAAAGACTGTGTCACTTTAAGCCACAGGCATCACTGTGACAAGAGATAACTGATTCCACTCTCTTTCTGACTTTCAAATCAATGCTTATTTGTATATTCAAAAATCTCTCTGAGAAGAAATAACCAAACTCTAGTTCTCAGTCTGGAGTCAGCCAAGACACCCTGCTGCCCTTGCAGTAGTTCTATAAGGGAGATGCTACAGCAAGATGGAGACATTTTAATTTAGCAGATGTCCAGAAGGTCTAAGAGAAAGCTAGTCAGCTTCCTGAGAGGAGACCTGCCATTTGAGGAATGTCCTCCTAATAATCAGGGGGACTATAAGAGCACAGTAAGTTGATGTGATAGCTGTTTTTATGGAAACTGGCCAAGGAAGCCAAACTCCCCGTTTTGGGCTGAGAGGACTGAACAGAGACAGAAAGCAGCAGGGGAAAGGGGGGAAGGAATCAAGGAGTAACTCTTAGCTGCCCAGGCCTTGGAACTGAGGCAACCAAGATCTAAAACCTCTGAGGGCAGGGATTCCAGTGGGAATCTGAGTTACATATTATTGACTAATTTTATTTTACTTTTTAGCATCCCCAACCCTAACCCACTCTCGTCGCCTCCCTGCCCTGTGATCCCCACCTCCCTGTGCCCTTCTTAGTTATGCACTCCTGTCAGTCCTGCTTTTCCTCCATGTGAATGCTGCCCCTCTGGTTATTTCAAGGGGTTTATCTCTGTAGAGTAAGTAGGTGCATCACCCTGGGTTGGGTGTTCTGCATATAAGTCTTTCTGACTGTTGGGCTGAGAGCAAGTCCTTGGGAGTGAGTCCTATCCCAAGCCCATAGTCTTGGGGGTCCCATCAGACTCCATCTGACTAGTAATTCTGGTCATTATTGTGTTTTTGAACTTTGTTCCACATTTTTCCATCCACTCTATCCAGGATCTCCAGTTTTGATCCCTTCCCAAGTGGTTGGCATTGGTAGCTGGGCACCATCCAGTTCTTCTGGTCTCGAAATCCATCATATCCTTGGGCTAATTGTTTCCAAATGCCCTTGATTTTCTTCACGCTTCTTTACTTCAGACGAGAGGAGACCATGAGCTGCATCTTAGATGGCCGCTAGAAAGCTTTTAAGACCCCAGTCGTTACTCAACAAAGTAGGTTTGGAAGAAGATTTTTATGTATTATGTTGTGCCAGTTGAGCCTGGTGTCCCCCAGTACTTTGGTCCTGAGTCAGCAGTCCTGATAGTTCTCTCTCCCAATGTGTTTGGCTGTCTCTGGGGGATTACTTCAACTCTGTTGCTTCTGTAATGATTGTGGTTATTTTATATCACTAGTATCTGTGCAAGATTATCCTCAGCTAAATCTATCACTGGTCTAGTGTATATTCCTGTTCTCTGACCCCAATCTGATCTTCTCAGTTGTCTATGCATTTATCTGTACCCTGGTGCTTGGTGTCAGTAGTAACACAGTATTGTGCATATACTGCTATTGAGCCTCTATTGTCTGTCTTATGTGCACATTTCGGTGTCTTCCCTTTCCTCGATGTTATCATGCAGGTCACAGACTCTTTCCATACCATCCTTCCCCTTACCCAATTCAGCATGACCCTCTGCTTTACCAAACATGATAGTCTTCTCCAGGGACCAGAGAATGAGGTCACACTCTATTGACTTCATTTTATGGCCTGTCTCTAAAGTTGTTTCATTATGTTGAGTTGTCTTATCTAATTCCATCCACTTGATGGTTTGTTCATGTGTTAACCTCCAGTGATAAATTTCCTTTGGCTAAGTCTAGGGGAAGCACAGCCAGAATTCTTAGAAGTGAGGATGGTGAGACATCATCTCACATACCTTGAACAGGTTATCAAAAGGGACCAATCCCGGGAGAAGGTGATCAAGTTTGGTAAAGCAGAGAGTCAGTGAAAAAGAAGGACCTCAATGAGATGGATTGGCAAAGTGGCTTCAACAATGGGCTCAAACATAGCAACGATTGTGAGGATGTCGCAGGGCTGGGCAGTATTTTGTTCTGTTGCACACAGGGTGGGTACTAGTCGGAGCCAATTGGATAGCACCTAAACACAGGGAAAGCACATTGCTAAATGTGTGAATGGCCATCCCCTCCTCTCCTCTCCACTCTGCCTACAAGTCAAGTTCTCTTCCTTTTTGTCTCTTCCTCCTTCACATTTACTTCCAGAGACTAGCACCCCAGGGGCAGATGAATAAAAGTCTAGCAAGCTTTGCTGGTGAAAATTGGATGATTTAAGCTTGAACTTATTCTCCTGGTTTATGTTGATGGTACTCCTCTGAGGCAGGAAGACTTTCAGTCAGAGCAAGCGGCCCACTGCCCAGCAAATGGCTATTACAAGGCAACAAGCCATTACCTGAAAATCTAAGGATTGGCAACTCAAATCAAAGGTGCAGAGAAAACAATAAAAATAAGCTACTGATGGTTGATTTCTAATTGTGTTTATCCTTTTGAGTAAGAACAAAATGAAGCCAAACATAGAAAAATCCTTCTAAAATTGATAGTTTAGCCTTTGATCCTTTCGGGTAGGGGATGGTGGTGGAATTGCATTAGATCCAGAGAGGTGGTTAATGTGTGCCATGTTCCCTGATAGATGCTTCCAGACATTCTCCACTCTACTCCTTACCACTGCAAGAGGGGCTGCAGACAAGTTCCCACATTATCTCCAGGGTTGACAGTTTCCCTTCTCTTTCCATACTTTTTCAGGACTAGAGAATTGAGAGACTTAGAAAGTCTGAGCAATTTTTAATTAAACCTTCCTTAGAACATGGATTCCTGTGTAAAGCAAGTGGTTAACACATTTACTGTTAACTGAAGGACCAGAGGCTCAAGTCCAGCCAGAAGTGCCTCAGAAGAAAGGTGTGACAATAATCTTCAAGAAAATCACCCATTAAAAACTCAGTGTAACACAATTCTACTGACACACATGGCATTGCCATGAATCAGAGTTGACTTGGCAGCAATTGGTTGCATGGTAAGGCTAAAGTAGAGAGAGAGCAAGCTCTTTAGAGCTTCTGGTCCAAGCCAGACTAGGCAAAAAGGTCTGGCAATCTACTTCTGGGAATTAGTCAATGAAAATCTTATGTATAATGGGGCAGTGTTTCCTTCTGTTATACATAAGGTGGTCATGAGTCAGAGCTGCTACTACTACTGCTACTACTGCCCAGAGGGCAACTAACAACACTACCCTCTCCCCACAGTTCATGGGAAAGGGGCAAGTGGAGAGTGAGATAAGAGAGGAAGGGAAAAAGGAGACCCCATTGGAACCAGCTCTTCCTTCAAGACTCTGTTAACAGCAGAGTTCCTCAACCCACTCCAAGGCCCCAGAGTCTCTTGCTCATCTCTTGCCCAGATCATAGGCAGGGCTCATGGCCTAAAATGTTAAAAGGGCACACAGACCACTTGGTTATAGTGGATGAAGGTTTTTATTTTCTAAAGTGATAAGCAAATGTGACATTTCCATGTTGACAAAAAGAATAAAATGGGGCTCCTCTTTCATAACGTACACAGGTGTTTTGTGAAGTTTTGACAGTTCTACTGTAATTCCGACAGCTAAAGACCTCTCCCTTGGAGCAAGCTGAGAGGACGTGAATCTTACACCATCATCCTTGAGTCCAGAATTGTCAGGGGCATGATAGAGACCTCTGGGCCTTCTCTCCAAGGCCACACCAGTCAGGACTCAGTCACAATCTTTTACTTTTGTCCTACCCTCTAAGTATTCACAAAGTTACTCTCATCATCTCACACAAGCTTTCTTGACTTGCAGCAGTTCTTTGCTTTTTCAGGAAACAAACGGGATGAAATTTCAAGGCTGGAACTTCCTCCCTGTTGTATTTGACAAGGACTGACGTACTGCAGGCCCTTTGAGTCCCGGAAGTCCAGGACACACCCAACCTTGATAGCAGCGTCCAGATGCTGGAATTGTAGGTTAAAGGACAGAAGCAAAAAAACATTCAACATGAGGGACCCACTGACAGATTGTTCGGTGAGTAGCACCAGGTGGTTCGTGTGTCTGAGTGTGAGCGGTTGGGTGGAAGGTGGATTTATTACTAGATGTTAAACTTACGAAATTTGAGACAGTCAGAACATGTTTAGATATTGGCTGTGGTACAAAAGTCTGTGGTTTTTCTTTGGTTCAATTTAAAACACAACCCTCTTTAGCAAATGATAGGTCAGGTAATTGTCATGTTTCATTCTTATGTTCTTGGAAAAGCTTAGAGTGGGTATAACATCATATTTGGATGCAGATGGTGGCTGATTTGAAAACACTCTTAAGGCATGTAACAGCAGTGCCAACATCATATATAAAGCAGATACTGTACAAAAACACACAGAACATCTGCAGCCAATTTTTGCGCTCTGAGAAAGAAGTCAGGGTGACAGGTTCTTGCATATTTTCCCATATTATTTGGAGTCAAGGAGTAGGAAAGACAGACTGCCCTCGGTGGTTCTCACATAGATTTACCAGCATGCTTGTTTCAGTCCTGAGAGTTACTAAACATAGAAGATTGATTGGTCAAAAGTCCAAAGATATTGTGAGGTTGTTACTGACAATAGCTGAGATATAATTTAGAAAATGAGAAACAACTAAAATAAAGGAAAATTGTATTTACTTTGGGAATAATCAGTGCCTTGTCCCAATAAATGGTGCCAAAAAGCTAAATTGGTCACATTCAAAGCAAAGGTTGCATTCATTGTTCACATAGTTTATTAAGAAAACAAACTGTGAGAGGTACATACATGAGGGCTGAAATAAAGCCAGAAGGAAAAAGATCAGCAGAAGATTATTTAATTCATTTTTGTTTATTTAAAGGATAAGGGAAGTACAAGGCTGAAAGAAGGTAGAATTGCAGTTGCTGGTCCACACGTCCTGGTGACATGGTGGTTAAAGCACTTGGCTGTCAACCAAAATATCGGCAGTTCAAACCCACCAGCTGTTCTGGGAGAAAGATGAAGCAGTCTGCTTCTGTCAAGATTTATAGCCTTGGAACCCTAATGGAGTGGTTCTGCTCTGTCCTATAGGGTCAATATGAGTTGGACTTTGGATAATGGCAATGGGTTTCTGGTTTGAGTTAGTCCACAAAAGGAGTTAATGGGTCACATGAGCTAAAGGAGATGAACCCATCAAAGGCTACTAGTAGCAACAATGACAATGTAGTAACAGCCTCTGCCTATTTTTTTTTTAATTTTAAAAATAATATGTGCCTAATGTAAAAATTTCAAACAATATGATTGTATATAGATTGTAAGAGTGAAAAACTCCCTTCTTTACTCACCTCCATCCAAATCTCGCCATTGGTAAGCATGGAGAACTTTGTTTGTTTGTTTTGTTTTATTAGCTTCTCCTTGCATTTACTCCCTTACCAAAAATTTAAATCACGTCCTATTTCACCATAGGAGCTCTGGTAGTGTGTGCCTAAGGCATTTATTGCTAACCAGAAGGCTGGTGGTTCAAACCCACCAGCCACCCCTTGGAAGGAAGGTTGGGCAATGTACTTCTGGAGTGATATTGCCTCAGAAACCCAAGAAAGGGTCACTATGAGTTGGATCCGACTGGGCAGCGGTGAGTTTGGTTTTTGGTTTATTTCACCACCAATACTTTGATGATACTTTTGTAGGTAGGCAGCCTGCAGTCCAGAATTTGGGAGTTTTTCCTTTAACCAGCTCCCAAGACAGCTCTTCACCGTATCTCAGGGATAGTTTAATACTGAATTTTCTGATATGCTAAGCAGACACCTACCCTAAGCAGAGCCATAGCCCAAGGAGAGGGATTTCTGTTCCTGCTTATAACCCTGAGGGTTGTTGTCCAGGAGTTGAGAGGAGGCGGATATCCCTTCAGCCAGAGTTTCTAAACCTTCTAAAGTCCTGGAATCTTTATTTATTTGCCATTGTTTCATCTTGATCAAATGTTCTAGTCGACTTCCTGGTGCAGTCCTTGCTTGTACTTGGGGAACAATGCTGTGTGAAGCTGAGGCTGCAGTTTGGGAACAGAAGTAAAACACGGGAGTGGATTGCAGATGAATGTTCCATGAAAGCCTTAAGAAGTTTTATAAAAGAGCCCAAAGCTTTAACCTTATGCAAAACATTCCATTCCATGGGCCTCTAAGGCTGCACAGAGCACTATTCATAAAGCCGTAGCTTAGCTATAGTTCTTAACCTAGTACACCCCCAAAGGCTCAGTGTATGGAACTCAGTGGGTTGCATGAATTTCAGTGGAAAACACATTATGCTTTATTTTTACTAACATGAAAGTAAGTTTTAGAATTTATTTCAATTCTGAATGTAGGCAACAAATCTCAGTAGTACTAGAAGAGCCTGTGACTTTCTAACCAATAATAATTATAAATATTTTCATATGATAGTACAGTTGTTACAGGTTTGTAAAGAGTTCTGGTGGTGCTGTGGTTAAAGCATTGGGCTGCTAATCTAAAGGTTGGAGGTTGAAACCTATCAGCCACTCCTACAGGAGAAAGATGAGGCAATGTGCTTCCTTAAAGATTCACATCCTTGGAAACCCCATGACCCAGTTCTACTCTGTCCTGTAGGGTAATAATGAGTCAGAATCGACTAGATGGCAGTGACTTTGGGTTTTGGGTTTTACAGATATCTAGATATACTGTATACACTCAGCACTACTTAGAAATTATAGTAATTCTTAACTCTTATTATTTAGTATTTTAATTTAAAAAAGCTCATATAATATCGTAATTAAAAAATGCTTTATAAGTATGTGTCAGTATAATCAGTTTCCTGTACAATTTACCTTATTTTTTTTGTGCATTT